CGCTAGAGCGCTGTTCTTTTCTTCACAATTTTATTTAGAATGTGATAAAACATAAGTATAGAAAAAAAATAAAATGTTTTATTTATATATTTTATTAAGATAAATTTTTTTTTATAATCATTTAAAATCACTTTGAACTATTATAGACATGTATACAAAATTTGAAATTAAGCACATTAATTATATCAGTTTATAAAATTATGTATATAATAATTGATTGTAAAAGTAATAAAAAAAATATTATATATGATTCGAAAAGATAATTAACAATAATTTTTGTTAAAAATACACAATCAAAAAAATTATACATGATCAAAATGGTCGCTTTAAATTCTAACAATAAATTGAATAAAATCCCCGATGTTTCTATTGCTAATTATTTCTTATTAAGTGCATATCCAATGCAATAAATTGCATATAAAATATCTTGTAAATAATAATAATTCTTAATTATTCACAAAAAATTATTTTAACAAATTATTAACACAAAAGTAATATTAAATAATTATAGAAAATACTCTTAAATTAAAGAAAAAGTTATAATAAAATATTCATAATAAAAAAATATTAGTTTTATAAATATTGAATTATGATCTCTTTGTTTAAACCGATTCATTTGATACTTTTTTAATTATATTAACTAATATTATACCAATTAATTATAACAACAGTTGTAAAATTCTTATAATGACTTATTAATTTGTCATGATATAGATTTTTGCTTTTTCTTTTCGTGTTTTTTTTTTTAGATTTTTTTTTCTTTTATATGGATATAATATAATAACGATTGCAACATTTTTTAACAAATGTAGACTAAAATATCATTGATAAAGATACAATAGATATCTTGAATTAAATAATATAATTTTTTTTTTACTATTTGCCTTTAACTGATATAATAGCGCTTATTGAATAATATAATTTTTTTTTACCATTTATAACCTTTAAATAATATAATAGTATCTTTATTACTTAATTCACTATGAATAAGTTATTTGGCGTCGATACAAATATGTACTTAAGTATACACGATTAATTATTGTTTTCGTAAAAAGCGTTTCTTATTAAGCTACCACTCATATCTTTACTTCACTTCTTTATATAT